CTGTTGAAACACCCCCACCCCCACCACACACCTTTTATCGCTCCTTTCCGACACGCACACCTGTTTTGACACCCATATCTGTAGCTGAAGCTTTGAGGAGATAACCGTCGAATCCATGGATGCGTGCAGGTTCATCTTCGTATCGAAGAAAAATGACATGGTCTGGAAAGTTCCGCTGAGCAACAGACAAATCATTTTCTTCTCTGCAGGCAAACACAAAAGTGAATTTTGTGTCTGGCCGGACGCAGATATCGAACTATTTGCCGTTTAGATGGAGTTTTAAATTTTTTGTATAGTCGGACAAAAGAAGACGCTGATTCGATCTGGGAGAGGAGCGGCGAAAAAGGGCGATTGCTGGAGCAAATCTAAACAGAGACAGATGCACATTTAGAGCAGAAAACATTTGGTTATTAGAGGAAAAAGGAGAAAGAAGGCAATAAGTCAACAAGTTCGATTGAAAGGGGGGAAAAGGGAGAAAATTATTATTCTCCTCGTGTGCAGTTTGAGAGCTAACCGTGGGAGGTGGGAGGTGGAAGGTGGGGGGGCAGGCAACTAGGGGCATTTTAACATCAAAGAAAGAGATGGTTATGAGTTTGACCTCTCCAGAGGAGGTCAACAGGGGTAAGCCCCTGACATCTGTAAAAATACAGTTACTCACAAACGTCTTTAATAAACACAGACCCAAACAGAAGCACCCGCAGTGGAATAAACGCAGCGAACGTGTCCCATCTTTGTACATTAACCAAACTGAGGTGGTCCCACTTTATTTTTTATTAGATATCAGAGTGAGTTTGGAATGATCCCACAAGGCAATAACACGCTCACACTCACAAAGTAAATGCACACCTCAGACAAGTGTCACCTTCACTTTAATTGAGAAACTGCAGCTTAACTCTGCTGCGTTTATTAGTATTCTGCTGCGCTGCGGCTTCGCTGTTAGGAAGTCATATCAGTATAACCATCAGAACTGGAGAGCAGAATACAGAATGACTTCTAACAGCGTCAATAAAGCCACATTCAGCTCCACTGGAAGCGCAGCAGTCGGGGAAAACAAAGAAGGACACTTTCATTTCCTGCAGACAACACCACACGCGGATGTGTTGTTATTTGCGTTTCTGAATGATTCCATTCTCCAGATTAAGGGAATTTTGATGCCCTCTGATTTTGCCTAGCTGCATCCATAAGCTCTGGCTGTAGTTAATTAACTACCACTGTGATAACAAATAAATGTGATTGCCTTTGTTGCCGGGCAGACAATGTCTTCAAACATCACACGCTCAAGGAACCCAATAGAACAGGTTAGGGAGGAAGAACCCACCGTTACTGACTACCTTGTTTTGGAAGAACAAATGGCAAAGTTTCAGTAAATTATTCTGCACAAATTTATTCGATGAATATTTGATATCCTTTTTTTTTTTTTTTTTTGCAATGTTTACACAGAGGAGAGATTATCTTCCCTCCTGTGTGATAGCTTCCAAGTCTCTGCTGTAAACCAATTCCTGTGGATATTTTTTTAATCAAATGTTAGAATTGAAACTATACTTTTTGGCTTGTTTTTACCTGTTATTGCTAAATTACACTTCTGGCTTTCAGATAATTTGCTTATGATTTTAGGCCAGTGGCATTTGCTCTAGGACAGCAAGGGAAGCTAGACTTCCTCTAAAATGTCATGCATATCCTGTTTGAATGTCAATTCTGTCATTAAATTATCTGCGATAATTTGAAATTTATCTTGAATAATCTGATGACGTCTTTTTGGGTTACTGTAGAATTTGGGTGTATTAAACCCTGTTGAAGCTCAGCTTTAGTCGTCTTCTATGATCATCGTTTTCTTCTCCTGTGAAACCTAGATGCTGATTTGTCAAATGGGACAAAGATGGAAACCAAGCTTTGGATTTAGTGGACCAGTAGTCAGCCAAAAAATTGGAGTTCTTCATAATAATCGGATGAAATATTCACATTTATTCTGGACAGATTCTTAGATTGAAATGTATTTGGATATTTATCCGTACACAGTCAGATGTGTATATTACAACAACTGTACAACATTTTACCTTATGCTCCTCTTTACAAACACATTCAGTTCTGTTTACACCTGTCCAACAAGTAACTGGACTGTGGAAAAACATAAATACAGCACACAAACACACGGTCTGCTTTTCATGCATTGTGAGGACTTCACGTAGGCATAATGCGTTCCCGAAAGTTTGGGGTACAGTTAATTTCAGCCCTTCCTCAAACCCATTCAGGATCTAATTCTAATCAAAACTAAATCTTTAACCTCGTATACTCTCTTTCCTGGTCCGATCCGACACTGTGAGTGTCCCCACACTCACAGTGTGTACCCACTTTGGTACGTTTTACCAAAGAGATGTCCCCACAATGATAGCTATACTTAGAACACACACATACACATATACACACTTTTCCTGGTCCTTATTTATGCCTCCCAGCTGTCAGCCTACTAACCTGAGTTACATCACAGCTCGTAGACATCTGGGTATGCTTTACATTACACAAACACCCTCATGTACTTGTTCGTGCACGCTCACCATACACATCAGTATAGATGTCTGTACACGGGCCTGGGGAGGGCTAGATCAAATTAGCATCTGTGCATCTGTCAAATGAATCAGCAGATACAGGCTACAGCGCCCGGCTAGCTGGCTAACAAATTCTGTTTATCTAATCTGTCCCTACATGTTCAGACTGAATAAGCAGAGCCATTTGTCTTAGAGAGTCCTGTCCCCAAAAGCCCACCACGACCAGAGCAGTTCCACATCCTGGATGATAATTGGTGAATGTTGTAAGGTGACAGAAACAGTTCCAGTGAAGAAGAGCAGCACTCTATAAGCAATTAGTAAGTACTAAGGACCATGAGAATGGTTATTATGGAAACCAAGTCCAGACGCCACAATCCCAAGGTCCACAATCAGGTTACATTTAAAAAAAATACTTTATTTGAGGTATGTTGTATTATTTAGGGTAAATTGCCACCAATAACACTTTAGTTGCAGGATTAGTTGCAAATCTCTTTCATTTATTTTTTCATTCTTTTGGGGAGCTGTCCATGTTGTATTGCTCTTGTAATGCTATTCTGAGCACATTTACAGGCTGAAAGCTCAGTCTAATTACTAGCCTTTTATATTTGGTTTTCCTCTGCTGGGCTGCGTTGTATCTGTGCCGTCTTCTACTGTTAACGGCAGCGTGTCGGACGGTGATGTTGAAAGTGTCGGTGAGAGGTTTTCCAATGGTCCACGGTAGTCTGAAAAATAGTGATGTTCAAGGTGAGAAAGTCGATTTGCTTAGAATCTTGTTAGATGTGACGTCTTGTTAAGATGGGATGAGATGAGGTGTGTACCTTCTACACGCTGTCAAACTGTCCACACAGGGACTGTGCACGAGCCACTCGGCACATCGGAGATTTTGCTCATCATTTTTCTTTCACACTGCGGCCAATTTTGTGCAGAAATGGCACATTTTTCTCTGTGTATGTGGAGTTTCTGCAGGTACCAGGTTTTTCTAATGCAGTCCGGAAACATGTAGAACCGACACTACATAATTGTAGACATAAAATAAAATCGATCATAAGGGGAATGACTGTTGGACTAGTTTCCTGTTCCACATTCTGAGCAGGTCACCTGTTCAGGGCTGAGGACGGTGGGTTTTGACCAAGCAACTTTAACAAGCACTAACTGTAAAGAATGACACAGTGCTGCAGCACAGGCGCCCTGCTGTTGAAAGAAGAAGAAAAAAAAACAATAAAAGTGAAAAATGCTAACTGTAAGACAATGCTGTGATGGTCTGAGCTCTATGGTAGGAATTCACTGGAGCAGCTGCTCAGCAAGTAATAATCCAGGGGTGTAGTCGTAGTCTGTAATCTGAATGTGTTTAATTGTGGAAGGGATCTGGAAAACATCTGACTACCACTCGGTGAATGCTGCCTGGGCTTTGTCAGTGAGGATACTGGAGCAGCACATGGATACACTGTCCCCTGGAGCACATGCTCTCTTTAACACAGGGTTTCATGAAAAGACTTTTGAAACCGTTTGACTCTGAATAGCTTTTGTCTGGAATAATGTAGAGCAACCGTGGCTAAAGTTAGCCGGAGGCGTGAGACAACTCAACCTGAGTGAGATAAACAAACAAAGAGCAATAATTGGACCATAACAATGAGTTGGGTTTTCACATTCACTCACTGTTTCCAGCAATTGCACTCACTTTAATACAGACACGCTTTGTAATGTTAACAAATTGCCTTGACACCTTTAGCAAATGCGAGCACAACAATGGCCCTTAATGTGGAGGAAGAGCAAAAATTAATTAGCATAAACGTATTTTAGCAAGTAATACACATAACACAAAAGAAAAAAATAAATAGATTAAAAAAACCTCTCATTTCAAGGAGCTACCAGAGAGGTGGTAGAGTGTGATGTGGCCAGGTTTTATCCTCTCAACATCAAAGTGGGTTCTCACCCTGGGTGAGTGTTTGTGTGTGAGTCACGGTGAACTTGTGTGTACTATATGTGTTTATTTGATAAGAGAGTTGTCGCAGTGAGTCGACACTTAAAAGTCAAACTTCCTTCCTGTCTGAGAGATATCACAGACCAGCAAAATAATTAAACACACACACACACACACACACACACATGGGTTCACACACACACATACTTTGGCTCTCCAAGTGTCGCCTCCATAATCAGTGCAATGACTTGATGCATACTGCCAGGATAGTCCTGAAATGTTTGGTGATTTTCTGCTAACTTTCCTGTCTTCTGTGGACCGGTGCTCATACTGCGCACATTTGTACAATCTCACGCTATCCAAAACGGAACAACTGCCCTCAACACCCTGCTCCGGGGCATTCTGCTTTGCTTTAATGTATCAGGGACAATGCTGACCTCAGCTGGACCAAAATAGTTACTGCTGTAGTTAGTTTATGCCCTTTGTAAAAATGCATCAGGCTTCAAAGACTGGATTTTGTGTTGTTTCCTCCTCAGACACAACTTTGAAGGCGTCCACCGAGGGTCAGACAGACTGGAAGGGAAGAGAAGAAACGGACGCTTGACGTAAGGCAGTGCAGCAGACAGACGAGCAGGTGGAGAGAAGAGTCATCAGCAAGGTAAACACGTCAAGTCATTTGAATCTCTCGAGTCCAAATCAGCAAAACACAAATGTCGTCTTCTTGGCGAACATCACAACGATGTCATGGAAAATGACATTTTCACCCAGAAACATTAAAGTATATAATTAGTTAATTAAGGTTCTCCCGACATGGTTGGGTGAAACCATGACTCATACAAAAGTATGAGTCATTTGTGTACTCTCACATAGTAAGAATCCTACACAGTACTTTAGATTGGGTTTAAATGTATAAACATTAAACAGGTTGGCCGTTACATATGGGTTGTATCGCTCTGTGGACAACAAAGTTACAGCGTGTACAATCATTTACCAAGTTACAAAGCCAGCTGAACAGAAAGTGAGCAGAGCTTTTACACCTGTAGCATATTTTCATGTATTCATAAACACAGTAAACACCAACGTGACTCAGTGAAGTGTAACCACCACATCTATCCACTACGGCATCGTACTGTGACGAGACATTAAGTCCATGTTCAGCACGTTGGCGTCTTCAGGTGCTGCTCGTAACGTGACAGAACAGAATCCAATCTTCAGATCCAGACCCAGAGGTTGCAGCCGTCGGCCTTGGCCACAGCTGGGGGTGAAAAAGAAAAAAGGGGGAGACAAGGATAGGGACAGGGACAGAGGAGAGACACCAGGAGAGGATATGCAACACTACAATGAACAAGCCAGAAAAATAAACAGCGGAAATCAAAGAGAAAGAAATGGAAGGATTGAAGCATCGCAAGTTTTAATTAATTAGAGTTTGAAAACAGTACGGCTCTGACACTGACACTCACTCCTTGTTGTTTGAAAGGCAGTTAATGATGTAACATTTCCACTCGGCTACGCCCACGCTCAGACACCAAGACGTGCAGAAACCAGCAGACGCAGTGAACCACTCCTCACCTTTTTCTCTGCCTTTTTAATAACACGACGTTGGTAAATACTCCTCAGAGCAAAGTAAACTGAGAAGTGAGGGGAGAGGAGAGGAAAGAAGGAGAGGAAATAAGAGGAGAGGAGAGGAGACGGGATGAGAGGAGAAATGTTAAAGTGAAGTAAGAAGATGGGATGAGAGGAAAGGAGGAGAGGAGAAATGTTAAAGTGAAGTAAGGAAAGTGGGAGAAATAAAAAAAGTTACTCAAGGTGAAGAATCTAGATGAGGTGGAGATAGACTGTAGCAGAGGAGACCAGAAAGGAGCAGGATGCAAATAAAAGGAAAAGGTGAAGGATGAGAATCAGAAGGAGGAGGAGGAGGAGGAGGAAAAGAGCCAAAAAATATGCGTATTGAAGTGCAGTGGAGAGGAGAGAGACAGAGACAGACAAAAAGTGAGCAGAATAAAGGCGCTGTGACCTCACATGCTCGACTGCAACGACGCTTTGAAGATCATTTCAAGGTGATTAGATAAGAGCAAAATCATTCATAGGAACAGAGGAGGTGGGAGGGAGGTGGTGGGGGGGGGTGGAATAAATGAAGTTAAAACTGAGATGGAAAAGATAAGGTAGAATAAATTAAGAAAAAAAATAACAGGTGAGGGAGATGACGGGTGGAGGGAGGGGGGGGCAGAGGGGGCAGTAATAAAAATGGTGCCTTTTCTCAGGGAGGTGGTGTCAGCATGACTGACCACAACCAAGGGTCATGTCGGGACTCAATCTTCTTTTATTAAAGTGGGTGGGTGGGTGTAGCAATAGTGGGGGGGGGGTGATATTTGTGTAAGAATGTTGAAAACGCTTCTGGGCATTTCGTCTTTGCCGTCGTACTTTCACGAATGTAACCATCCTCAATGAACTGAAGAAAGAGCAGAGCAGTGGGGGAGGGGGCAAACGAGGAGAGAGGGTGAGAGAGAGAGAGAGAGAGGAGGTGGGGAGGTGGTGGTGAAGGCTGCAGAGAAAATGATTCAGTGACTCAAGCTGTGAGGTGTGTGTGTGTGTGTGTGAGTGAGTCTTCGAGCATGTGTCTGTGTGTGCGGGGTGGGGGGGTGGAGTGGGGGGGGTGTTATGGCACACAGGCATGATTACGTGTTTAGTGCACGGTGTATCAGCAGACATGCAGAAAGGCTTGTGTTCCAGTGCAGACTGGTACATGCAAATGTGTGTGTGTGTGTGTGTGTGTGTGTGTGTGTGCGTTGGCAGAAGTGATTAACTACAAGCAGCCTGCCAGCCAATAAACAGCCAGCAAGGCTGCGTTCCATACCTTGATGAGTTCTCCTTATCTGTCTGCCCCTCCACACTCCTCCCACCCTGCATCCTTTATTTGCTCTGCTGTACATTATCTCCGTCACTCGTCCTCCCCATGTCCTGTTATCAGTCATCTGTCCTCGTCCACTTGTTCTCTGTTGACAGTTCCTTAGCTCATCTACGCTGAGGCTAATTAGAACAGATGGGGAATTAAAGCAGAAAAGTCTTTTTAGATATAAACATCAATAATAGTAATAATAATAATAACGAGAAGAACCGACACTGTGGGTCTGTTGTTTGATTGACCGAGGTTAGAATTGTTAACTCTTTAACTGCCATTCATGATGGTTAATGTGATCTTGTATGTAATTATCCATAAGAAATGCTAAAAATTGTATTATTTTTATTTAGGTTTAGAAGAGGACTGAGGACCAGGACCTTGATAAGGTAATTATGGTTTTTTACTACAAACCCAAAAAAAACCCTAACCCTAACCTCCCCCCTCACTGATAATAGTTAAATTAACCAAGATTAAATGTTCACCAGGCCTCTAATTAATTAAAAAAAATATTTTATTGTGTCCTACCAACAACAAATGTTCCATGATCCACGGGAAGAAATGAGTTAACACACTGGTTTCTTTTCGGTCTTGTTGAGAGAGGTCACGTTCAGCTCAGAGATACAAGGTTGATACTATTTCTGTCTTCAGTAACAAGTCATTTATTTTTGCCTCTGGTTGTGTAAGGGTTATTTTTGGTCCCTGTGCATTCACTCATTCAAGCCTCTGTTCAGCCGGCCTCTCTGATTCACAGGTATTTTTGATGTGTTACAAGAAGGGCTCAAATTCCTAGTCTGATCACAGGGTAGCTGTGGATGAATCACGATTAATCACGATTAATCGTGATTGTAGTTTGTCAAAGTTCCTTCAACTTAATCAGTCAACATTGTAAAATACAACAAACATATTGTTGGAACAAAGAGACAATTAATGGCAGGTGGATTTTTAGTTTTTAGAAGCTGAAATAAAAGAACCGGCATGGGATTGTATTTTTAAACGTAAAAAGAATAATTGCGGGCGATAATAACTCAGTGCCCTGAGTTTCTTGTTGTTCAATCAAGTGGGTAAAATATGTCATTCAGAGTGTGTCATGACTCTCGGTTCTTCTTCGAGCGAGTTTCTTCTCTTCTGAGTGACATGAATGCTGCAGAACAGCACCAGCAAATAATCCTGATCTGGTTCTGTACATGAGTTTTGAGCATGGACTGATTTAATCTTTTCACACAAAGAAGAGAGAACACTCAGCTGGAGATGAGCTTTAAAAAAAATCCATTAAAGCATATTTGGATAAAAGGGATCTGCGTAACCGTTCCAACCCATTCATTATCATTTCAGCACTGAATGTGTTTTAAAATAACCTCAATCACTCTGGCCGTGTTCAACAAACACAATATGTTCAGCTAATGTGATGAGCTGACGATGCACTGGCTCTGTTTCCTTCTCAGGGCAACTGTGTGCACGTGTTGACGTCAAAGTAAAAGAACACCTGGTCATGACTCCAACTCTTGCCTCCTAATGTGCAACCTGCCATTAATTGCATTAACTGCAGTTAGATCTAGTTAATAGGATTAAAGCAAGGACGTGGTGTAGGAGACATAAATCCGCTCTGGAAGTCGGCCACAAATTTGGTTGCTTCATATCTCACAGGGTCTCCTTGGCCAGCTGGCAGAGGCTGCTGGTCTGTGATGATTTACACTAATGTCTCCCCGTTTTGCTGCAGCTGTGACTTCGGCAATTGTACGACATATGCAGTGTAGCAAGAGAGCTAAAAGCTAATCCACAGCAAACGCTGTTTTCCGTCAGAATGGTTTAAGTTTTCAATTTATTGACTCTGCTTTTTTATTTATGTAAAATATATTATTTAAATGTATGTATGTATAAATATATATTCATATATATATATTTATGCAAATATATAATACTGTGTTTATATCTTATATATGTGTATATACTACAACATAAGCTATAAATGTAATCTTAATGAATGTGAGCAGCACCTTAAGCACCTTCAGTTTTTTTGTTTGTTTGTTTTTTTTGGTTTTTTTTTGGCAAATTACATCATTTCTGAACCCAGAGCCTGTAGAGAGGCTTTGATCTTTTTTTTTTTTTTTTTTTTTAAGACAGAGCTGTCTTTTTCTGCAAGAAGGTTAATTCTGCCACGGCTGAAAAAGACGTTTCAAGTTAGAACTAATTACAGCTTAACAGAATCAAAACAAAAAAAGAGACCAAAACACAGTCTCTACTTCACATCTCTGTTGACAGAGTCGTTTTTTTTTTTTCTCTACTCATATTATATTCGCTCGTCGACTGTAAATGAAGTCCCTGCTCTTGATGCCAACTGAGTTTCTGTGAGGCCACGCTGATCCTTAATCAGTTCAGTGGAACTCTCTACAGGTGTTCTTAATGTACTGGAGGAGTTGCTTTTGCTAAAGATAAGTTTTCCGTGACCTTCGCTATTGCATGCAACCTTCTCATGGCTGTGTGGGTTTCTATTATACAGTTATGTTCACAAAGTAAAAACAAAGTCGAACTGACCACAAGCCAATAGACATCTGTGTCAAATTAAAAATCATTAAAATCCCTGAATCCAGTCATGCACAACATTGACCATGATCTTTGTAAATTGTAAAATACTGATATTTTTATTTTTCAAAAATGCAGCAGTAATGTTATATGCTTTGAGACAATCCAGCCATCAGCTGAGTTGATTAAACCCAAGTGAAAAGAAAAATATCCAAACAATCAAACGTTTCATTTTGTAAAAGTCCTTCGCTTTCAGCTTTTACATTTTTAACACTTTTATTTTAAGACAACTAACTGAAATCTCAGATGACCATGTGATGACAGGATAAATAGGCCTCACTGCAGCGAAGCAGCATGGAGTCACACAGGTGAGGCTGGGGTGGGAGACAGAGAGGACCAGACAGGACAAAGGGCCAGGGCTGGGACGGGAAGAAGACACAGGACAAAAAAAAAGAAATTAAAAAAAGGAAAGTTTTAACCTCAGAATAAGACCTTTGGTATTTTTTAAACTTTTTTTACGTCCTTATTTGAAACCAGATGTAAGGAGTTTGACCATTTGTCATCTTTAGTGGCTTCTATTTCAGCGCCGTGCTGTACGTCTGTCTGCTGCAGTACGTGATGCATCTCTTCTTAATACTCTGAGCGCTGGCTGTGCTTTAAATGGTCACAGAAACCGATAGCTGTTGTAGAAAAGAAAAGGAAATAAAGCTAGTCCTTGTTCTTACTTTTTTAGCATCATCTAGATTTTACTGACGCTGCACTTAAAGGGTTTAAAGGTTTAAATTGCTGTATATTCAGAGGCGTACCATGTAATCTCAGGTATCAGATTAGAGCAGATCGTTGTCTTTGTAAACTGATCTTTTGTGACAGGTTTTGTCAAATTTGAACATTTGCAGGAGCCGTTATCAGTAACATTAAAGTTCCCGGCCTGTTTTGCAGGTGTGGAATAATGCTTTCAATTAAATGCCAAAAATAGTGTCTGCAAAAATGCTGACTTCAGTCTATTCAAAATGCATTTTTTTATCAACTTGTTGACATGGCCTATATTTTTACTCGTAAGGCAATTTTAGGCAGATTTTCATTGTTTTTTTACAGTATGTCTCAGACATGTAGTATATATGGCTGTAGATCACAGGCTGCTGTAGTCATGACTGAAGAACTGAGGTGAGCAGAAAAAAACCAGCACCTCGCCAAAGTAAAAGTCTATGGACAGATAACTGCTGTTTGTTCTTGCATTTAAACTACACACACACACACAATTATTCATAATTGTGTGGGGTTTTTTTTGTTGGTTTTTTTTGCTGCAAGGCTGTGTGTTGTGTATCATTTTGCTGCCACTCATTGACCTTTAACCTGTTTGAAAAAGCGTTGAAGAGATTATTCAAACATCATCTGGGCGAATATACGTATCAAAACTGCTGGAAATGTCCTTCAATGACATTGAAAATGTAAGCTTAAAAA